CGCCCTGCAATCTTCATGTAGATCCATGCATTGACCGCCTCACGGGGTGGTGTCAAGCCAACTGGCCTGCGATCCCGGACGTTTGGCCGGCCTCGGTACCACAGGGCCAACAGCTACCCGGAGACCTGGTCGATGAAGGAAAGCTCTTGCTCTTCATGAAGGAGGTAGTGGCATCACGTCCTCCCAAGAAAGGAAGAGGTCGCCGATGAAAAACGACACCTCGAGGCTCAGGAAGCCAAGAGGGCCGTGAAAAGACGCAGAGCACCATCAGGTAACAGATGTTGATCACGGGATGTGGTCGTCGGACTGAGCCAGCCCATCATACTAACACCCAGCTTCCCCCAGCAGATACCATCGTTGTAGGCGGCGGAGGTAGCGAATACGAGTCAGACTCCGACTTGGAGTTGTATGAGTCCACGCTCAAACTACAGTATAATACTGTACGGGGCTACGTCTCGGCCATACAGAAGCTTTACGACGAGCAGAAGAGCCGGGAGTCAATCCTGCGGCCCGGCCACGGGAGTGGCACTGAAGGCGCTCAAACGCAGCATTCTTGCAACGACTTGGAGCCGGAAGAGGAAGGAATACATGGACAGGGAGTTGGAACTCTGAGAGATGTGTATGCGCCGGCGCAGATGCCCGACCACACCAACGTGGCATGGTCCGAGAGGAGAGATCGCCTGCGCCCTGAGGACGCAGGTGGACTTTCTGCTCGGGAACCACATGCTGCTGCGGTCCGGCAACCGCCTGCCGATGGAGTTGGCAGACTGCTTTCCCTGGACTTACCCAACGAGGGCTTCAAGGCCCAGGGTATACCACAAGGCGCTGGTTGTCGTGATGAACTGTGGGAAGACCAACCAGCACGGCCGCATGGAGTATGGATCTGCTCTGCGGCATCGAGATCCGCGATCTTGTCTCATCGGCGCCCTCGCGTTCTGGCTTTTCTGGCGCTGGCAGGTAGAAAAGGCGGAAAGGTTTCCCGTCTTCAAAAGCGAGACTGGTATGAAACGAAGGTGCTCCGCCGATCGGCGAAGGAGCCTCAAGGTAAGCGTGATGGCATTCACCGGAATCCCATAACTCAGAGGTGCATCGACCCTTTCACTCACCGAATATACAGCTCCGTTGTCGGGCCAGACTGCCCGAGAATGGACGTCCAGGTTCTACAAGAAGGCCGGCATCAAGGTCTCCAAGGTCAGCCACGCGCCTGAGTGGCGGCGACGCAAAACGCCGACATGGCCGGGTGGATGAAGGCCAGGCATGTCATCTGCCTAGGCAAGCCGCCCAGCCTTGGACTGGGCTGACCCGAACTATACAGATCCGCCGAGCCGGTCGTTGGAATAACGGAGACCAAATGACCGGCTGCTATCTGACTTCCCTGCCTTTCCGAATTCGCGAGGGCCGTGGCCGACTTTGACCCTGAATGGTCGGGGTCTTATTTCGTGCCCCGGGCCACCGTGACCGCCTGTGGTGCTACTCGTGCAGGTCTGGCCTCAACTCGACAAATGGAAAGAGGCCCACAGTAGCCCTTTCTCAGATCTGGGGTGGAGCAGAACATGGCCGCCGGCGCCTTCTTGGAACTCCTGGGTGGCTTCGAGAGGTGCTCCTGCAGGACGCTGTCTTCCTTCGCGAGTCCTACCCCGACCATCCTATCTTTCAGGATCCGGTCTTCTCTTGCCCCGAGTTTGAAGCGTTCGCCAGCAAAGTTCAAGACACATGCACACGGGACCACGAAGACAGCCATACCACGGTCATTCAAAAGCGATCCCGGTGGTTGCGGAGAAGCTGCGCACAGTACTGACTCAACAGGTCGCAGCCGAGCAGTTAGCTGAGCGAAGACATCTAGACCTTTTGGGGGCTTCTTACGAACTATGCACAAAGTTGGATGAGTTTGCGCAGGCCACCTACACCGTCACCTTCAGCCCCGGCCAAGGTGCTGCAGGTCAACATGCGGAGATCGCGGGCTCATCAACAGAGGCGCCGCGCTCCACGAGAGACGGTCCTCAGGTCCGAGATAGGCCCTTCGCAAGCGGGCGGTCCGACATACGCTCCGCTCTCTCTAGAGCAGCAGCGGGGAATGGTGCAAGCGGGCCAGGGCAAGCCCCAGGGAAGAGCGCATGGCGAGCCGCCTGGGCCGCGCGAACCTCCGAGCTTCAAGCTCCCCGTTCTGTCAAATCTGTACAGGAGCTGCTGCGTCTCTGGCGGCAGGGCTGGGGCGAAATGCCTTCTGTGGATTCTCTTGAGCGAGACTGGGGTGCTCGATGGCGGCCATCTGCAGAGAAAATTACTTTTCCACGCGCAAGATCATCGTCGATGAGGTTCGGAGGCGGGCCCAGTCGGACGGCAACTGAAGATATCGTGGCGAGGCAAATGGACGAAGAACGTGGACCCAGCTCTTTGGATAAGTTGAGGGTATGCATCCGCTAAGCGCCGCTGTAGCTCCAGCGCGTCAAGGCTAGAAAATGCTTCAAATCACCGCAACCTCGCAACCGACGGGATGTAGGACCTTAGACAGGGTGCATTCTGATCGCACAAACGCAGGCTATCCAGTCGAACTGGTTTTGTCGTCGTCGGTCCCGGCTTTCGCGCTTTATGGCGCTCCGAAGATGACATCAACCCGGCAGAGGTGATGTCAAGGGCAAGCGGGTAATCGGCGGTAATCTGCGGGGTAATCCGCTGACCGCCCACCAAAGCCGGACCTGTGACATCCTCTTGCAGATTACCCGTTGATCTTGGTGTGGGGCCACAGCAGCCCAACTAAGTGTCTTCGCCGTTCGAAGACGCGGTTGGCTGCTGTGGCCACCCTATACGGAGTATCAAAACACCATGAAGCTCGTGAACAGTGACATTTTATAATGCACACAAGTACACGGGGCCGGTATTCCTGATCACCGCAGATGGCAGGAAGATTGTCCCGATTCTGCCAGTAGACAGGGACTTCCTCGTCGGACCACACTCTGCACTCGTACGCAGTTTCCCTGATCGTATGCTACGCCATTACAGTTCACAAGTCGCAGAGCATCACCGAAGACATGATCGTGACGGATCTGTCCTGCCGTGACTTTCAGACCGGTTTGAGCTACGTGGCCGTCTCGCGTGTGAAAACGCTGCAGGGTCTGATGCTGGATGCCCGCTTGACCGCAATCACCTGACTTATGCGTCGCCGCCGGAAGGAATTAGGATGAAAATGAGGGATCAGCAACTTCGCAAACGACGGGTTCTCACTCAAAATCCGTACAGGATGAATGTATGATTGCAGATACTGTACTGATTGTTCGGTGACTGCTTGACTGGTAGCCAGACTCGCAGCCTTCGGCTGATTGTACGCCTTGCACCACAGCCCTAAACACTAAAGTGCAAGGTGTGGCGCAGTATTTTAAAACTGAAGAGATATGCGGTGAAAGCCTGAGAGATATGGACGAAGATGCCACGGCAAGGACAAGCATGTAATGATCAACTCGTCTTTTAACACTGGCCACTGCTCTCTAACGTCGTAGTTACATTGCCATACGCCTTCATAGTAGAGAACACTACACAATAGATCATTGACATCAAGTGGATGTCACAGGTCCGGCTTTGGTGGGCGGTCAGCGGATTACCCGCAGATTACCGCCGATTACCCGTTGCCCTTGACATCACCTCTGCCGGGTTGATGTCATCTTCGGAGCGCCATAAAGCGCGAAAGCCGGGACCGACGACGAGAAAACCAGTTCGACTGGATAGCCTGCGTTTGTGCGATCAGAATGCACCCTGTCTAAGGTCCTACATCCTGTCGGTTGCGAGGTTGCGGTGATTTGAAGCATTTTCTAGCCTTGACGCACTGGAGCTACAGCGGCGCTTAGCGGATGCATACCCTGTCTACAGGCCACTACCGCTGACTGTAGCGACGCAGCCCTGACGGCCTGGGGCACTTTCGCCGCCAAGGTCCTCGTCATTCTATCAGACGGGTGTTCAAAATCACTGCGCCATCGACTTTTCGCTACCACCGACGTTGAATTGCCCCGACGCACGTTTGTGTCCCTTTTCGCCTTGCCTGTCCTTTCGGATGGCCTTGAACAACTTATCCAAGAGCTGGGTCCACGTTCTTCGTCCATTTGCCTCGCCACGATATCTTCAGTTAAGCCGTCCGACTGGGCCCGCCTCCGAACCTCATCGACGATGATCTTGCGCGTGGAAAGGTAATTCTTCTCTGCAGATGGCCGCCATCGAGCACCCCAGTCTCGCTCAAGAGAATCCACAGAAGGCATTTCGCCCCAGCCCTGCCGCCAGAGACGCAGCAGCTCCTGTACAGATTTGACAGAACGGGGCTTGAAGCTCGGAGGTTCGCGCGGCCCAGGCGGCTCGCCATGCGCTCTTCCTGGGGGCTTGCCTGGCCCGCTTGCACCATTCCTGCTGCTGCTCTAGAGAGCGGAGCGTATGTCGGACCGCCCGCTTGCGAAGGGCCTATCTCGGACCTGAGGACCGTCTCTCGTGGAGCGCGGCGCCTCTGTTGATGAGCTCCCGCGATCTCCGCATGTTGACCTGCAGCACCTTGGCCGGGGCTGAAGGTGACGGTGTAGGTGGCCTGCGCAAACTCATCCAACTTTGTGCATAGTTCGTAAGAAGCCCCAAAGGTCTAGATGTCTTCGCTCAGCTAACTGCTCGGCTGCGACCTGTTGAGTCAGTACTGTGCGCAGCTTCTCCGCAACCACCGGGATCGCTTTTTGAATGACCGTGGTATGGCTGTCTTCGTGGTCCCGTGTGCATGTGTCTTGAACTTTGCTGGCGAACGCTTCAAACTCGGGGCAAGAGAAGACCGGATCCTGAAAGATAGGATGGTCGGGGTAGGACTCGCGAAGGAAGACAGCGTCCTGCAGGAGCACCTCTCGAAGCCACCAGGAGTTCCAAGAAGGCGCCGGCGGCCATGTTCTGCTCCACCCCGAGATCTGAGAAAGGGCTACTGTGGGCCTCTTTCCATTTGTCGAGTTGAGGCCAGACCTGCACGAGTAGCACCACAGGCGGCCTCACGGTGGCCCGGGCACGAAATAAGACCCCGACCATTCAGGGTCAAAGTCGGCCACGGCCCTCATGAATTCGAAAGGCAGGGAAGTCAGATAGCAGCCGGTCATTTGGTCTCCGTTATTCCAACGACCGGCTCGGCGGATCTGTATAGTTCGGGTCAGCCCAGGCCAGGGGGTTGGCGGCTTGCCTAGGGCAGATGACATGCCTGGCCTTCATCCACTCCGGCCATGTCGGCGTTTTGCGTCGCGGCCACTCTAGGCGCGTGGCTGACCTTGGAGACCTTGATGCCGGCCTTCTTGTAGAACCTGGACGTCCATTCTCGGGCAGTCTGGCCCGACAACGGAGCTGTATATTCGGTGAGTGAAAGGGTCGATGCACCCTCTGAGTTATGGGATTCCGGTGAATGCCATCACGCTTACCTTGAGGCTCCTTCGCCGATCGGCGGAGCACCTTCGTTTCATACCAGTCTTCGCTTCTTTGGAAGACGGGAAACCTTTCCGCCTTTTCTACCTGCCAGCGCCAGAAAAGCCAGAACGCGAGGGCGCCGATGAGACAAGATCGCGGATCTCGATGCCGCAAAGCAGATCCATACTCCATGCGGCCGTGCTGGTTGGTCTTCCCACAGTTCATCACGACAACCAGCGCCTTTGTGGTATACCCTGGGCCTTGAAGCCCTCGTTGGGTAAGTCCAGGGAAAGCAGTCTGCCAACTCCATCGGCAGGCGGTTGCCGGACCGCAGCAGCATGTGGTTCCCGAGCAGAAAGTCCACCTGCGTCCTCAGGGCGCAGGCGATCTCTCTCTCGGACCATGCCACGTTGGTGTGGTCGGGTATCTGCGCCGGCGCACACATCTCTCAGAGTTCCAACTCCCCTGTCCATGTATTCCTTCCTCTTCCGGCTCCAAGTCGTTGCAAGAATGCTGCGTTTGAGCGCCTTCAGTGCCACTCGTGGCCGGGCCGCAGGATTGACTCTCGGCTCTTCTGCTCGTCGTAAAGCTTCTGTATGGCCGAGACGTAGCCCCGTACAGTATTATACTGTAGTTTGAGCGTGGACTCATACAACTCCAAGTCGGAGTCTGACTCGTATTCGCTACCTCCGCCGCCTACAACGATGGTATCTGCTGGGGAAGCTGGGTGTTAGTATGATGGGCTGGCTCAGTCCGACGACCACATCCCGTGATCAACATCTGTTACCTGATGGTGCTCTGCGTCTTTCACGGCCCTCTTGGCTTCCTGAGCCTCGAGGTGTCGTTTTCTTTCATCGGCGACCCTCTTTCCTTTCTTTGGAGGACGTGATGCCACTACCTCCTTCATGAAGAGCAAGAGCTTTCCTTCATCGACCAGGTCTCCCGGTAGCTGTTGGCCCTGTGGTACCGAGGCCGGCCAAACGTCCGGGATCGCAGGCCAGTTGGCTTGACACCACTCCTGTGAGGCAGTCAATGCATGGATCTACATGAAGATTGCAGGGCGCGCATGCGGGCTTGCCTTCCATTCTTCCTGCTTGGGACGATAATTTCGCTTCGTATTCTTCGGCTGGGTGTTCTCCAGATCTAACAGGTAGTGCTCAATGGCCGCCCTGACCCGGGATCCTCTATCGCGTTCGACATGGTGCAGGCGGTCGCCGTCGCGACGGTGGCAATGGAGGAGGTGGTGGAGGGAGGTGGGAGGAGGAGGTGGAGCGCAACGCGCGTGAGCGAGACCGAAATCGAAGGTCTCGCGCAGGGCCCCGCGGGCGTGGACCTTCGATTTTGCCGTCCGATGGCGGTAATCCGACTAAGAAAACGCCAGCCCCGCAGGGCCGGGCCTTCGAAAACGACATGGTTTTGCGTGGGGCGGGGCGGTAATCCGATTACCGGATGACCGGTCAGCCGGCCCCGGGACCTGTGACACCAAGTGAAAACGTCGCCTGTCTATGACCTCTTTTTGCGGAAATCGCGAGGAGTCCTGGAGCCCCTAGACATTCTGTATCATTCAATGGCCAAAGACAATGAAACAAGTAGCTCATCTACTTAATGAAGGCAGGCTGTGAAACAATCCTTCTCTGACACCTTTTTATCACCAGCATGTAGTGATAAGGGGAGGCAGTTGACCAGCCTGCACGACTCGATTCACCCCTGCCTCTGTCAGGAAGTAGCGGTAATAACTTGGAAGAAGTAGTGATGTGATCGGCCCATAAAGCCTAGGGTGTCCCAGTAAAGGATGCACGAACCATTCCAGGGGTGATTCGCGGACATTGGCTAAGTAACGGCGGACCCTGGCCCCGGAACAGGAATATGCATGAGGCATCCCGACAGACAGTTGCGAGACAGCCAAACTTGCACTCCGACTGCAGTATCAGCGTCTTACGGATATCTTCTCCCAGCGAGAGATAGTTCAGATTTCTGTTCTCCTACTTCCCATTTCCCTTCCCCTAACCCATGATTCTCTCCGATATTCAGCACAACCCTGATACTCAACTGAAGCATTTTCTGTCTCGTTTGCACTTCGTCTTCCCTGAGCTTACGAAGCATAGCCTAGAGAGAATCCTGTGGGCCAGATGTCAACCCGCGGAGTACGTGATGAACCCCACCTGAGATCGCAGGCGCGTGGGTTTGGCTAACACAAGACTTCTTCCTCTTTGCTTTGTTTTAGCAAAGGATGGCTTAGCCGAGACAACCAGAGAAGATCGCGTGCCCGACGAAGAGCATCTCCTCGAGCTCGAACAGCGAGTGAAAACTTACGAGCTTCAAGGCATTAAGGCCTCTACCGATATGCAGTTGGCCGCAAGGAGAGTAGCCGAGGAGAACAAAGTACTACGTGGGCTCCTCAACACACATGGCATCAGCGACGACTATATCGCCCATTTCTTGCAGATGGGCACCTCCCGCCTCTTCATTCCAGCCCATCCATCTCCCGCGCCGACGACTCCGGAGCTGCTATCAAGTCGCCACAACAGCTTTCATTGCAACGACAATCAGCTAGTTCGCCGAGGCTTCTCTATCTCTTGGCCGAAACAACCAATCCAGGAGCCCTCCCACACCAGCGGGTCAATGGCAACGCAATCCGTCAGGAGCCTTCGCGGCTGGAGACGACTTCGCACGGCTATTGGAATCTCGTAGTGGCCAGTAACCGCGCGGTCACAGTTATCGCTCGCCTGTAGTGAAGGTTGTTTAGGAGCATGTAGACAGAAGCCGGGCCAACGAACACCGGAGTCGCGGCCCGATTCTTGCAATCATGATCACCAGGGCGGTTGCGGAAGCTCTCGGTCAGACTCATGCCCCATTCAATGTATGCGCTAAAGGTCAAGCGGTCCGGTTGAGGGAAAAATTAGGGTAGCTATAGTGGCTTGTTCTCGCCCTGGCCCGACAGCCGCACCCCGTCGACCTCTCTCGTCCCCCCCCTAGCCTGGCCGCACTGCACGACCGAGAGGCCGCAGGCCGAGTGCAGGGTGATGCCGCCAATCCGCGCCGCCGCCGCCTCCGACGTCGCCGTGACTCGCAGCCGGCTCGACAGCTCCGGGTAGGACGCTGAACACTTGGAGAAATTGACCTTCAAGCAGGTCTGTCATGGAGCGAACAGTGGAATGATTGGCGCAGTGTATGATGATCTGTGGGGCTTGAGGTGCCATGCATCAGTGTATCGAACCGCCAATAGCCAGATCGTCTAGGCCCTATGGGAAGTATCATCTTGGCGAAATAAATCCATACCAGACATCAATGAACAACAACCATGGCGCCGATTGTTGATGGCGCGCGTGATACCCTTGGCGCTCAGGTCCGTGACAGAGTGGGTTCATTTGGCAAAGACAAATACTCGAAGGTTTGAAGAACTAGCTACCGCGCGTCCAAGTCGTGGACAGGTCGGAAAATACTTTCACCGAGAAACCACTGAAATTTAGTACAGGAGACCGGCCCCTTTCAGGGCCCGCCAATGCCTTGAGGAACGGGACGAGAGTTGGCATAGCCGAGCGCGAGCATTCGGTTGGTTTTAAACGTAGACAAGTCTGTTGGAGAAGAGAGGGTAGTGCGGCTGCTTGGACCCGCTACAGCACCTTACCTGTTTAAGCCTACCCTCATCTCCACCCTGCGGCACAAATAAGCTTCAAATTGATTCAGCCTCTTCACACAAGCAACCTGCAACGATTTGGTCATCGGAATTAGGTCATCATGGCCCTGAGTGCAATAGCTGCAAGAAGTCGCCGCCTGAAGTCGCCCTCAAGAGGTGCGCGAAATGTTCCACAACGCCGTACTGCTCCAGGGATTGCCAGAAGGCAGACTGGAAGGCCCACAAGAAGGTTTGCAGCAAACAACAGGCCGACGCCACGACGTCGTTTCAAGATGGGTCTACGACGACAAATTTGTCGCCTCCGAAGGGGTTGGAACACGGCGTCGCCCACCCCTTCACGCGTCTTGAAAATCGCACTTGGCTCCATGATCGATCGGAAAGAGATGTCTACGGGTTGCTGATCGACGCTTACCGGCTGCGCGTTGAGGACATGTACAACATTGAAGGCGAAGCAGACACGGATAGCATATATGGTGGTGCCGCCAATGGCTGCGTGGCTTCAAGCGCTTCCTGGGGCGCGTCGAGCGTTGTCCCGGTTTACTGCCGCCGTGGTGGGATGCAAAGAAGAAGAAAGAGTGTGAGACACTCGGCATGACCCCGTCGCAATGGCACGACCTACGATGCGCGGTGGAAAAGAGCGACATCATCGAGCAATATGGGGATTCACGATTCCCGATGCAGCTTCGGATGTTTGCTGAGTCCGTGTATGGTCGAGCTCCGGGCGGGACAAGTGGGACGGCGATGAGGCAAATGATGGTTGCGATGGAGCAGGGTAAAGCAGAGGATGGAGTCGCATATGGACAGGTCAGCAGCCATGCTTGGTCGGCGGTGAAGGGATAGGCTTAGTTGGTCGACAGCACCGCAGATCGAGTAGAAGCTGGCCGATCGTGGTGTGCTTTGAGAAGATTGTTTCTCCATCTGCAAATCATCCTAGGTCAACAGGGCCGAACCTCGACAACCAGATTGCTACGTATCTCAGTATTGAAGCCAACTCCGGTTTGCACCTCCAGAATGGCAGTCACAAGTTGGCACCGTCGTGGTCACGCGCAAGGACGGGAAGCCATTTTATCCGCAGCATCTTGAAGGTGTGTGGATGTTTTGCGACTATATCCTGGATCTGTTCGAGGAAGGAGACGGGCCGCCGGGATGGCTCTACAGCCGCCACGCGTTTGAGAAATGGTGGGTGAATTATTGTGAAAGCCAAAAGCACTTGCGCTCTGGGAAGGGAGGGGATCGAGATCCAGACGACTGGGGTGCGGTCCGGTCACCTTATGAAGTGTAGGACGTTTACCTGCCGCGTTACGACGTGCAAAAGGTCAAACTATCAGGATGGTTAGTATACTACCACTACTTTTCGAAACCTTGGTCCTCGTATAACCCTCTCGTTTCTGCGGCCAAGTTCTTGAGTCTCTGCATTCCATCAATTATGGCCGGATCCAGCCCATTGCCAATGAAATCATGGTGTCTCACAGGACCAAGAAGCTTGATGCCCTGAAGCGAGATGCACCTGGACAGTTGCACATAGAGGCTCGTAAAATCGCACCTGGAGGGTTCA